GGTTGGCTTTGGTCGCAGTACCGCCACCTTCTGCTCTGGAGTGTAAACGCTTCGCCTGAGAAAAAGGAGCAGCGCATGAACCGAACGAAACACATGCGAACCGAACCGAACGGTTCGGACGGTTTTCAAAAACCGTTCCATCCCTAGTATATATATATATTTTTTTTTTTTTGACAGAAAAAAAGCAACTAATTTGAGCCTAATATATACATTTATATATATATATAATTATATGTGTGTAATAAGTCCATGTATATTCCATGTTCATCATCATTGTAGCACTTTTGGCTCATCTGTATTATTCTGCTTCATTAACACATTCTTTATATTGTGATGGATTTGTATAATATGTCATATTACATGATTTATAGACTTCATAATGACTATGCAATGTGATGGGCCTATTTTTTATTCCAAGTTAAAATTAATCTACTGATTTTATGAAACAGCCACTGTTTAAGTTTCAAAGTGATAAATTTATCTTTATTTTAAACGTCTTAAGTTCCCCTGAAAACGAGAACATCATCGTGGTTCGATGCTGTAGTGCACCGATTTTATACATTGCTACCAGTCAAACTAGGGAGTACCAATATGGCGGCCGATGGCTTCAATCCACCCTGTACTACCAACGGGCACATATCAGTGGTCTGAACCATGAGCTCTTACTGGTTTCCATTTATCTCTGTCTGACCTGCTGGTTCTGAATGAATCACAGAAATCATGACATCAAACTTGTGGCTACTGGTTTACGTGTTTATAGACAGAAAATGGTGGAAGATGAGATACATCTGATGGGACGACCTGATTGCTGATCAGGTAATTGATTGGTTCTGGTATGTCTTAGAGTAGCTGCTCCATCTCATGTGCAGTCCAAGCAGCGGGGATCATGAAGCGACCCTACCTGGCTCAGCTCTCCAAATACATTCAGTACTTCCAAAACAAAACGCTCAGGGATTCAGATTCTGCTGGTTTCTCCCGTCACACGCCGATCCTTCACGGCTCTGTCTGCACCTGTGGTTCTGCTCCTCCTGCCTTCTGACATTACATCCTGCCTTACCCTTCAACCCTACGGCTGTTGATCCACTTCATGAGGTGGATCAGAGCGTCTGATCACAAGGCAAAAAGAAAAAGTACAGATCATGGATGGGAAGTGTGGTCTGAGGGGAACCGAGTCACTTCCTCAGATGTTGCTGAAGGTCTGTGAGCTCAGACTGAAGGAAACCTGGCTGGGGACTTACCCTCCTTACTGAGCGACATGGCCTCTGCTGCCTTCTTCCCATTTCTGCTGCAGTCCTCCCCTTCAGCTCCTGGAACAAATGATCAAATTGTAAAATGGATGGTTTGGTTCTCATCCATGCACATTTTCACAAATCCCTGCAGGTTGTTACATAAATGGTCGAGCAGGCAGCTTGACTCCATGCTTCAGGGAGGGATTTTCAGGTGATAGCTGGAGCTGCTGGTTCAGCTGGACCTCTGGCCTGACATGGATGGACGGATGGATGGATGCTGATGGAGGTGGAAGGATTCCCCGGCAGCAGAGACAGGCTTGGAGGACCGTCTGCTAACAGCATCAGACTCCTCCTCCTCCATCACCCCCTGCTAGCCTTAGCATTAGCATGCTCAGGCTAACCGCCGGGTAGCAGCGGAGCGGGCTAGCTTAGCTTGCCGGGGTTAGTAGTAGTTCGCCCGGCCAGCGGGACTAGCTTCCTTCCGCTGTGCTGCTCCTGCTGCCAGCCTGCTAACCCACCAACCAGCTGCAGCCCCGGCTAGCCGGCCGGCCGGCCGGCAGCCTGCTCTGCGGCCGCACAGCGACACACCCCACGGCACTGATGTTTGACTTTCTATTAGGGCTGCTTTTCCTCCAGACTGTGGATGTAGCAGAAGCTGTTACCCACCCAGCACTAGGACCCGGCAGGGTCTTTGTTTGGGTAACATGGGAACTTCTGCCATCCGTTTAGAGGAAAAATAGCCGCGGCGGGCCGGTTACCAGGCTCCAGACCAGCTAATGTTGGAGCCGGGGAGGTTCCTCACCGTCTGCCGCCGTCACTCCGGCCCAGTCCGCCCAGGCAGTCCAGCTCTGACCCACGAATTCATCGAGGCTAGGTACCCGCCGATCCACAGCAGCCATTGCTTTTACTGCGCGTTCACGCACCGCCATCATCGCTGCGCGGCAAGCAGCTTACGTCATGGTTCGCGTTCCCGATAGGACAGGAACTTCCTGTGCGCGCGCGCGTTCTGAAGCGGCGAGAGGCGTTCAGGTGCTCCTCACCCACACGTTAAGCCGGAAATCTGAGTTATTCTTATTTTTTAAGCTTTATTAAATAATTTTGTTCTATAAGAAGATATAAGTACAATTTTCAAAGAATCTTTAGGGATTTGAACAAAAAAAGTAATAATAAAGAATAACTGAATAAACGTAAAAATGGTAAAGTGAAGACATAGACGCAAATAAATGGATTACATAAATATTTGGAATTTAGAGCATAGATATAAAGTTTTAACAGCCTTTTTGTTATTGGAAGAGGATAACATAGAGAAATAAACAATTGCTTCCTTTAACAAAGAAATACACACGGGTTTAGTCCTAGTAATTTTAAATTTATGGATATAAAGTTTGGCCCACAGAAGCAAAAGATTACATAAAAAGAAATGGTCAGTTCTTTTCTATATTCTGTAATTCCAAATAAAACATCCATAAAATACAGTTCAAATTTGTGGTAAATATTGTTCAGAATGAAGCCATAGACGCCTGGTGGACTCACTGGAACAAAAGAAAAGTTTAGATATGAAACTCTCTACTTTATGAAGGCTTATCAGGGCCATTCAGAGACGAAAAACAAATACAGTTCAAATGTTTGAGTTTAAAGTTGGACATCTGCGAGAATAGACGAAGATTTACAAAATTAGAACATACTCATATAGAAAAAAAAGTGGCACATTAATAAGAAAAATTCATAAATTTAAGAGAAAAACTATTTATTCTA